CTATTCTATTCTTATTCCTATTTCTATTTGCTTAACAACCACGTTACAACCTTAACAACTGCAGTGCTTCACTTAACAACTGTGGCCAGAAAGGTCGTAACATAAGGCAGAATTCATTTAGCACCTGTCTCGTTTAGCAACAGGTATTCTGCGGTCCATTGGGGGTCGTAAGTAGAGGACTATCTATACTTCCAGGTTTTTGCAAAACGATGCCCATCGCCAACCATGATTTCCCTTTACAATTTCCATGTTCGCTCCAACAACTGCCACAAAAAGAGTCATTTTACGACCATAATGGGCAAGGTCGATTACAGTCATATGTCGAGGACTACAGGTATTTCAACTTGAGGTGACCTTGGGCCAAGGTTTATGTGTGAGAATCTCTCTACATCAGGGGTGTTAAACTCAAGGCCCGCGGTGCCGTCCTGGTCTACTCAATGCCAAGAGGAAACATGCCAGCAGTTTGGGGAGTGGCGTCAAGCTGGCGACGCCCACCCAGTAAGCCACACCCACCTGCCCCACCCCCCCAAGGTCAACCACATCCTTGATGCAGCCCTCAATTGAGTTTGACCGGCTCTACATGATTGGAGTGTTGAGTCTCCTTGGGGTTTTTTTTTCGGTGGAAACTTCAATAATCTTCTCTATAGGTAGTCCTCGACTTACAACTGGTCACTTAGAGACCGTCCAAAGTTACGACAGACCTTCCTGGAGGTACTTACGCAAAAGGAGATCCCATGACCTCAGGACACCGCAACCGTCGTAAGTACAAGTCAGTTTCCAAGCATCCGAATTTGGATGACCACGTGAACATGGGGATGCTTTACAACGGTTGTTAAGTGTGAAAAAAACCGATCCTAAGTCACGTTTTGCAGTGCCGTTGCAATTTTGAACGGTCACTAAACTGTATGTTGAGCTGCCGTAAGTCGAGGAGTAGCTTATTTATTGTCTGAGAGAAATCCATGGGGGCCCCTGGCTCAGCATTCTGCACTAAGTTATATTTGGGGTTTAATAGTTTTTTTAAAATATATATATATATATATTGGGAAACCCCCCCCAGAGTCCCTGTTCATGAAATGGGCAGCCATATATTACTACTACTACTACTACTATTATTATTATTATTATTATTATTATTATTATTATTATTATTATTATTATTAGAATTTCTATACCGCCCTTCTCCTTTCGGACTCAGGGTGGTGAGCCAAAATAAAAGCATTTATACATAAAGTACGATTAAAAATAGATTTAAAATAATTAAATTTGGCCCATAGTTTAAAATTTATCAATTTAAAATCCATATCAAAATTTAAAACCAACCATAAAATCATAAAATCAAGACAAATAAACAAATAAATGTAGTCACTCCATTATCCCAGCCACTATTCTGGGTTTTCACAACTCATCAAGCCACGATCGACCACAAACCAACTTTAAAACTAACCATCTTTTACCTCCCCCCCTCTTCCGGCAAAGGCTGTTCCACTAGTATTTACTCCTCTTCAAGATGTCCCGGCAAGCCCATTGAGGGCCTGGAGAGCTCAGCAGACTAATGCATTGTAATTTAACTCCAGCTGCCTGCAATTACTGCAGGTTCGAATCTCACCAGGCTCAAGGTTGGCTCAGCCTTCCATCCTTTCTAAGGTAGGTAAATTGAGGACCCAGTTTGTGGGGGGCAATAAGCTGACTTTGTATAAAATATACAAAAGTATGAAGGCTATTGCTTAACGCATTGTAAGCCGCCCTGAGTCTCCGGAGAAGGGCGGCATATAAATCAAATTAAAAAAAAAAAATGGAGATTACGGCACCTCAAGCCGGTTTCCCACCATCAATAAACCTGGTTTAGGGAACCGGTCCTATTTTTGGCTCTCTGGTTTGCTGACTCAGAAGGGAATCCGTAATGCAGACAAGCGTCTGACCTTGTGAGTAATATAATGGGAGTTTTGGGATGGTTCGTTTCCCTGGATGGCTGCTTTGTTTTCTCTTTGTGCTCTGAGGTTGGGGGGGTGGGGGGTGGGGGAGGCAGGACCAGCCTTGAGGGTGGGTGGGGGGCAGGTGTTTATTTACCTGTTAGTTGTGACTGTTGTGTTGTTGTTGTTGAAAAACGCTGGGCTTAGAGGTTGAGTTAATAGCTGGATGGCAAACATGTTTATGAGCTGGCAAATGGGGCTGTTTAGAAGCCGGGTTTTGGGAGATGGGGAGGGGCTGGGTGAGGTGGGGGGGCTAAAGTCTACAAGGAGGGGGTCAAGGAAAGAGGAAGATGGGGTGGGGGGCATGTTTGAAGCCCCCAAAGGGCAGGATTTAAGACAAGAACCAACGAATGGAAGGGAGTTTTACAGGGAGTTTTCTAACTATAACCCCTCATTTAAGGACCAAAGTTATAATAGCACTAAAAAAAAAGAACTTAGGACCGGTCCTTGCACTTACGACCATCACAGCGCATTTTTTCCCCCACCCCAGTCACATGATCAAAAGGTGCCTCTATTTACAACAGTTGTTAACATTCCCCGGGTTTGTGTGATCACAATATGTGACTTTCCTGTCCCGGTGTCCGACAAGTGAAGTCAAATGGGGGAAGCTGGATTTGCTTAACGACCAGGCGACTCACATGACCAAAAGGGTCGTAAAATCGGACGCGACTCACTTAACAAGCGTCTTGCATAGCAACAGAAATTCCAGGGTTGTAAGTTGAGGATTTACCTGTATGGGAAGATCCAAACTCAAGAGTAAAAAAAGGGATTTTCTGATGCAGGAGAGAGACGAGGATGTGGGGCAGCTTGTCTCCTAGAGTTTTGGGGGGCTCAATCCTGGGAGGGTTTCAGTGTGAAAGGGGAGTCGTGTCAAACCACAATAGCCCCATTCAGAAGGAATCTAAAAGCCCCTTCTCCAGCTAACCCAGTTAATTCAAAGGCAAAAGCTTTCATGAGATGCAGCTGCCTTCATGAGACGTACAAAGGTGGCATCCAAGATTTTAATGCCCTGGATAAAGTGGGTTAGTCAGAAAAGGAGATACTAACCAGGGTTTCTCAATCATGGAAACGTGAAGATCTCTGGACTTCAACTCCCAGAATCCCCAGCCAGGGAATTGTAGTTCAGACTTCTTCAAGTTGCCACAAGTTGTACAGCCGTATCCTTTTTGACTTTTTGGACTTTTGCAAACCAAGGTTTAAACAGCCATTTGTCTGGGATGAGAATTCCAACCCACCACCCAGGCAGGGGGTTGGTCTAGAAGACCTCCGAGGTCCCTTCCAACCTGACAATTCCTCCAGGTTGTCATTTCCCTCCTCCTCTGTCCAAAGAAGATCACTCTTCTTGTTGTTTCATCCTATGCTGTCTTATTCTTACGAATATATTCAATATAGGAACATTTTGCATTCTAACTCCCAACAGAATTCTCAGCTAAGTTGGTTTCTTTTATTTGTTGGTTTGTAAAATTTATTAGCGGCCCAGTCTTGCCACAAGGTAACCCTGGGGGGGCGGCGGGGGGGCTTACAACATTAATACTGTATAATTTATAATACTGTAAGAAGAAATATCCTTCTGGGTTCATCTCCAAGTAGGGAAAAAGACACTGGAAACATGGAGACTGCTTGGAAAAATGGTTTAATGGTGGACAGGATCACATGGTTTGAGTTCCTGAACAGAAAAAGGGGCGAGATGCAGGGAGTCCCCGGGTTTTATGCCCTCTCTGGCTTTGAACTTCCTGGGGCCCCGAAAGAGTGTCCTGATTGGTTGTCAGACTCCCAGGAGGTGGGGGTCTTAGCTAGCCTTGCTGGCTGATGTAATCTTCCCAGGTGCCATGTCGTGAGTTTCTGTTGCTAGATGGGTCCTATTTTGTTGCAGATGATGGTCCATTGACAAAGATTTAAGTTTCTGCCTCTGGCCCCTTGACAAAGGGTGGTGTTATGGAAGGAAGGAATTAAGAGACATCCCTTCGGGGCAGACAGAGTCAGCTTTATTATTGCAATTATTGCAATAATAAAGACAGGTATTGCAACCTAAAGAATCTGAGCAAAATAATGAACATGAGAGTCCAACTTTATACAGCTTCAAACAAAGGATTCTGTTAACTCAGCAATTCATATGGTCATATACATTTGTCATTTTTAATTGACACTTCCTAATTTCTGTTTCATTTTATTCTCTGCCAACATTCATAATTCTTTATGTAGATTACTGAAGCATAGATTCAAATTATCTCTTGTTAATATTACATGTGGTCATACTTGACCTCTCTAACCTCAAACTGTATTTCACCAAATGCTTCTTATCTCTGACAACTGAGGGGCCCCTTCTGAAGGAATACTCTGCCTTTCATCTGGTTAACTGGCTTCCCTTAAACAAGCACATTTCCTTTCTTACAATGAAGAGGGCCCTTCAGTGATCATCCAGCTGGACCCGCTGCATTTACCTACTTTATCGGGGGGGGGGCAGGAAGGTGGGAGCTGCTTCGTCTTTAAAACTTGCTTCTCCATTTCTCATCCAGGGAAACATAATATTCTGCTATTTTTAATATTTCCTAAAATATTTCATTCTTCTAGGAAAGGGGTGGGTGCTAACTTCCTACGATACCATAAATGCAAATAACTATAAATGCTATAAAATCAAATTATGTCAAAAGATGCGGAGAAGCGAATATAATTTGGATCCCAAATGATCTCCTGAACTGGAATAAAATCCACCCCGGTTTTCCCAACAGCCTCTCAATCATTGGAGGGGGTTAAAAAGAAAAAAAAGAAAGAAAAAGAAAGACTAACCCAGTTTCAAACAAACTTGAGTTTTCGCCCCAGCATTGTGTGGTCAAGAGTGGAAACTCGGGTGCAGTGTGGCCACCTGCCCACCAGGGGCCGCTTTCCTCCTTCCGCGCGGCTTCGGCCGAGGAGCGCTGGGGAAGAGGAGCAGGAGGGGGGGCGTGGCTCGGAACGTTGAGTAGCTTTTCCATTGTGACGTAACAATGGAGGGGGGCGGGGCGAGGGCGAGGGGCGTGGCCCGGCGTCACCCCAGCTGCTTTCTCAGCCCGGCTCGCGGGATCCTTCATTCATTCATAAAGGAAGAGGAAGAAGAGGAGGAAGAGGAGGAAGGAGGAGGAGGAGGAAGGAGAAGAGCGCAGCCGGGGTCTCCATCTCCTGCCCGGCCGCAGCGGACTGATCGATCCGCGGGATCTGTTTTTTTCCCAGGTAGGGATGAGATCCCTTTTCGGATGGGCTTTGGTGAGAAACCCCTTGGATGGCGCATCTCTTTCTTCCCATGGGACTACAGTTCCCATCATCCCCGGGAAGGGTTGGCATACAAGCGATGGCAGAGGACGAGCTAGAGAAAGAGAGAGAGAAGGATCGCTAGCTTACGATCCGGGGGTGGGGGTGGGGGCTGTCTGGGAGGCCTGACTACAACGCCCATCATCCCCTGAAGCTCCATCTGAAGTGAGGAAGGGTTTTTTTTCAAGGGGGTCCCTGCCTCCTCCTTGCTTCCATGAGCCCCCCACCCCCGTGAATCACTGTCCGGAGTGCTCCCTTTATCCCTTGGGCTACAGTACTCATCATCCTGGGCCCAGGGATGGGAGCTGTAGTCTTTCTGATCCAGCTGCCTATCCGTTGCCTGGCCATCAAGGTATGCCTGTCCTCTGGGGGGGGGGGAGAGATAGGGGGGGTGGTTGAGAGGGTCCTGGGTTCGAGGCGTCTCTGCTCGCCTTTGAAGGGTGCCTCTGCAGAGGGCTCCGGTGGCATTTTGGCTGACTTTGGTGCGGTGTCCTTGTGGGGCTCTGCAGAGCCTGCGGGTGCCGGATGAGGCCGAGGAGGGGGGGGCTGCCCACCCCAGACAGCAACCGGCCAGCCAGCCGGGGAAATGCTGACACCCACCCCATCCCGAGCGAGCTAGAATGGATGTGGGGAGGGGTGTACTGCCCCTGGACTTGGAGGCTCTGCTTGCCTTTGTAATTGAGAGAGGGCGCTAAAGACTTCGTAGCATCTAGGGATGCCCGCTAGACGTGGTCAAAAAGTATGTAGCAGTCCCGCTGAAGATCAGCCTGCGTTTTATGCTTAAGGTGCTTGTCTAGAAGCCAGGAGACCGGGAGTTCTAGTCCCACCTGAAGCATAAAAGCTGGCTGGGTGACTTTGGGACAATCACCAGGAGACTGGGAGTTCTGGTTCAGCCTTAGCCATGAAAGCCACCTGAGTGACTTTAAGCCAATCAGCAGGAGACTGGGAGTTCTAGTTCTGCCTTAGGCATGAAAGCCAGCTGGGTGACTTTGAACCAATCACCAGGAGACAGTGAGTTCTAGTCCCGTTTTATGAACGAGAGCCAGGTGGGTGTCTTTGAGCCAATCGCCAGGAGACTGTGAGTTCTAGTTTGGCTTTAGGCGCTTGGCTGGGAAGCTTTGCCCCCAGTCACCAGGGGATTGGGAGTTCTAGTCCTACCTTAAACATGAAAGCCAGCTGGGTGACTTTGAGCCAGTGACTCTCTCTCTCTCTCTCTCTCTGTCAGCCTGTCCTACCTTTCAGGGTTGTTGTTGGGAAAATAGGAAGGCGAAAGGATATTAGGTATGTTCATCTGACTGCATGACTGTAACTTGTTGCTGAATCTTTATGATTTATATTGATATTGTTTCCTGATTGCTTATTTGTACCCTATGACTGTCATTAAGTGTTGTCCCTTATGATTCTTGACGAATGTATCTTTTCTTTTATGTACACTGAGAGCTTAAGCACCAAAGACAAATTCCTTGTGTGTCCAACCACACTTGGCCAATAAATTCTATTCTATTCTATTCTATTGAGTTACTTATAAAGGCAGGATAAAAATCTAAGAAATATCAATTAGAATAGAGCTGGAAGGGACCTTGGAGATCATCTAGTCTAACCCCCCTGCTCCAGCAGGAAACCTTATACTATTCCAGACAGATTGGCTGTCCAGTTTTTTCTTAAAAACCTCCGGTGACAGGCACCCACAACTTCTAAAGTTGTATAAATGAAATAACTTCATCGACAAAGTCAGCACTGCACTGTTGTTATCCTTATTGTTATTGCTTTTAACCTTCCAACACTTCTAATAAATCACTTCCTTGGCCTCTTTCAAATTCATCTTTAAAAGTAAGATGGCCGTTAAGTGAATCTGGCTTCCCACTTCGCTCGTCAAGAGTTTCGCAAAAGGGGATCACGTGACCCCCAGGACACTGAGACCGTCATAAATATGGGTCAGTTGCCAAGCCTCCGAATTTTAATCACGTGATTTGGGGAGGGGGGGAATGCTGCAAAGGTTGTAAGTGTGAGAACCGTTCATAAGTCGCCTTTTTCAACGTCGTTGTAACTTCAAACCGTCACTAAATGAACGGCTGGCCGTAAGTCGAGGACTATGATAAAAAGAGTAGTGGAAGCTTGGATTCAGCAGAGATAATGGGTCAGTTGTCAGTAATTGAGTTTGAATATGTTTTTGGGATAAACACATGTCCATCCTCCAACAAAAATTAAAATTAAAAGTACTCAAGGGGAATGTCTCATTCTTTTGTTCCATTTCTTAACATCTGCCTATCAAACTGATTTATAGATGCCAAAGATATATAAAATCCAACTTTTCTCAGTTTTAAAGGATTTTCAACAGTTATTTCACCATCTCGGAAGCTGAAAAATGCTGCAAAATGAAAAATTAACAAATGTTGTAATTGCACATTTTGTAAATTTTGCCATTATACCCAATAGATGATCTTAATCTTTTAATTTTTAACTGCTGTTTTGTCTTGTGTTTTTAAATAGGCTGTACACCGCCCTGAGTCCTTCGGGAGAAGGGTGGTATAGAAATAAAATTATTATTATTATTATTATTATTATTATTATTATTATTATTATTATCTCTGAACACAGAGTATGTTGAAAATTCATCCTCGTCTTTTATCAGCTGGTCCAATCCAATTTTTCAATACTGCCATGTTTTTTCCAATTTTCCAATGGACCACTGGACTTTTTCTGCTGTCTGTTTTCTATCTTTCTATTTTAATCGGGTGGGTTGGACGAGGGGTGAAATGCAGATTTTTTCCCTACCGGTTCTGTGGGCATGGCTTGGTGGGCATGGCAGGGGAAGGATACTGCAAAATCTCCATTCCCTCCGCTCGTGGGGGAAGGATACTGCAAAATCCCCATTCCCTCCCCACTCCAGGGGAAGGATACTGCAAAAGCCCCATTCCCACCCCACTCCAGGGGAAGGATACTGCAAAAGCCCCATTCCCTCCCCACTCCAGGGGAAGGATACTGCAAAATCCCCATTCCCTCCTCACTCCTGGGGGGAGGGTACTGCAAAATCCCCATTCCCACTCCAGGGGAAGGATACTGCAAAAGCCCCATTCCCTCCCCATTCTAGGGAAAGGATACTGCAAAATCCCCATTCCCTCACTCCTGGGGGGAGGGTACTGCAAAATCCCCATTCCCTCCCCATTCCAGGGGAAGGATACTGCAAAATCCCTATTCCCTCCTCACTCCTGGGGGAAGGATATTGCAAAATCTCCATTCCCACCCCACTCCTGGGGCCAGCCAGAGGTGGTATTTGCCAGTTCTCCAAACTACTCAAAATTTCCGCTACTGGTTCTCCAGAACCTGTTAGAACCTACTGGATTTTCACCTCTGGGCTGGACTAGAAGACCTCCAGGGTCCCTTCCGACTCTGTTATTCCATGACTTTCTGCTTGTGCGTCTTTATTAAAGACGCTGTTTATTGTCCTTTGCAAGCAGGGTTGAGCCTAGAGCCTGACACCCAATCAGTGTGTGTGTGTGTGTGTGATATTCAGTGTGTTTGTGTGTTTGTGTGTGTTTGTGTAAAACACTTTTGGCAAATACTCTGGCCAGCTGCACGAATCCCTGCCAATAGAGTTGTCCCTCTCTCTCTTTCTCCTTGCAGGCATTTTTTTTTAAATTGTGTTTTATTTATTAGATTGGTTAAAGCTCTCCGGCTCCAAAAAGATTGAACAGAATATTTTTCAACTCTGTTCCAACTGTAATTGGAGAAGCCGTTGGCAATAGAGTGGAAAGGATCTCTTGTTGAGTGTTGTTATTTAGGGGTTGTTTTCGCTGGGTAGCTTGGCTGGCTGTTTCTAAGGATAGCTCAACCTTGGGCTCCTGGTGTGTCTCTTGGAAAAAATGCACGAAGGTAAATCCTTGTTGTAAGTTTGCAATTCCACTTGAGGAGAAGAGATATTTTATTTCTTTATCAGATTTTTTAAAAATCCTGCCTTTATTACTTTATAAGTAACTCGAAGTGGGGAACGTGCCTAATACGCCTTCCTATTTTATCCACAAAAACCAACCCTGTTAGGTAGGTTGGGTTGAGAGAGACTGACTGGGCCAAAGTCATTCAGCAGGCTTTCATGCCTGAGGTGGAACTAGAACTCACTGTCTCCTGGTGATTGGCCCAAAGTCACCCAGCCATTTTTCATGCCTAAGGCAGGACTAGAATTCACAGTCTCCTGGATATTGTTATCCATCTCCTCCCACTTACGACTGTATGAGTGTAACTTCTGGGAGTTGAATGGAATTCAACTCCCAGAATTCCCTCACTGGCCTGAATGGACTTCAACTCCCAGAATTCCCTCACTGGCCTGAATGGACTTCAACTCCCAGAATTCCCTCATTGGCCTGAGTGGACTTCAACTCCCAGAGTTCCCTCACTGGCCTGAGTGGACTTCAACTCTCAGAATTCCCTCACTGGCCTGAGTGGACTTCAACTCCCAGAATTCCCTCACTGGCCTGAATGGACTTCAACTCCCAGAGTTCCCTCACTGGCCTGAGTGGACTTCAACTCCCAGAATTCCCTCACTGGCCTGAATGGACTTCAACTCCCAGAATTCTCTCACTGGTCTGAATGGACTTCAACTCCCAGAATTCTCTCACTGGCCTGAGTGGACTTCAACTCCCAGAATTCCCTCACTGGCCTGAATGGACTTCAACTCCCAGAGTTCCCTCGTTGGCCTGAATGGACTTCAACTCCCAGAGTTCCCTTGCTGGCCTGAATGGACTTCAACTCCCAGAGTTCCCTAACTGGCCTGAATGGACTTCAACTCCCAGAATTCCCTCACTGGCCTGAATGGACTTCAACTCCCAGAGTTCCCTCACTGGCCTGAATGGACTTCAACTCCCAGAATTCCCTCACTGGCCTGAGTGGGCTTCAACTCCCAGAATTCCCTCACTGGCCTGAGTGGA